CTAACATTTCAGCATTACCGTTGACCTCTACTGGGGGACTGTGGTATTCCTGAGGTATAATCAACCTTACAAAAATTTGAACTCGAGCGCATGCCAAACTGCCTATCTGCGCCACTTAGTGGTGCATCATCTCCCGGTGACTGCAGTGCTAGCCCGAAAACTGTTCTGCTGGCTGTTCACTGGCCTTTTTTTTTTTTTATTCAAATACCCTAAAGGGCTGAGTAGGCATTACATAATGAAGTTATACAATAAATATACAATAAAGCTGTTACCGGTGCAGCATACATATTCAATAAAAATAAGACGTTTGATACAAAGAGATATATATATACACATGCATACATATTTAGACATACCATTACATCATCATCATCAGCCTGACTACGTCCACTGCAGGACAAAGGCCTCTCCCATGTTCCGCCAGTTAACCCGGTCCTGTGCTTGCTGCTGCCAATTTATACCTGCAAACTTCTTAATCTCATCTGCCCACCTAACCTTCTGTCTCCCCCTAACCCGCTTCCCTTCTCTGGGAATCCAGTTAGTTACCCTTAATGACCAGCGGTTATCCTGTCTACGCGCTACATGCCCGGCCCATGTCCATTTCCTCTTCTTTATTTCAACTATGATATCCTTAACCCCCGTTTGTCCCCTAATCCACTCTGCTCTCTTCTTGTCTCTTAAGGTTACACCTACCATTTTCTTTCCATTGCTCGCTGCGTCGTCCTCAATTTAAGCTGAACCCTCTTTGTAAGTCTCCAGGTTTCTGCTCCGTAGCTAAGTACCGGCAAGATACAGCTATTATATACCTTCCTCTTGAGGGATAGTGGCAATCTACCTGTCATAATTTCAGAGTGCTTGCCGAATGTGCTCCACCCCATTCTTATTCTTCTAGTTACTTCATAGTTACTTCAATCTCGTGGTTAGGCTCTGCGGTTATTACGTGCCCTAAGTAGACATAGTCCTTTACAACTTCAAGTGCACTATTACCTATCTCGAAGCGCTGCTCCTTTCCGAGATTGTTGTACATTACTTTCGTTTTCTGCAGATTAATTTTAAGACCCACCTTTCTGCTCTCCTTGTCTAACTCCGTAATCATGAGTTGCAATTCGTCCCCTGAGTTACTCAGCAATGCAATGTCATCGGCGAAGCGCAAGTTACTAAGGTATTCTCCATTAACTCTTATCCCTAACTGTTCCCATTCTAGGCTTTTGAAAACTTCCTGTAAGCACGCCGTAAATAGCATTGGGGAGATTATGTCCCCCTGCCTTACACCCTTCTTGATTGGTATTCTGTTGCTTTCTTTATGAAGCACTATGGTAGCAGTTGATCCCTTGTAGATTTCTTCCAGAATGTTTATATATACTTCATCTACGCTCTGATTGCGCAGTGTCTGCATGACGGCTGATATTTCTACTGAATCAAACGTCTTCTCGTAATCTATGAAGGCTATGTATAGTGGTTGGTTATACTCTGAGCATTTCTCTATTACCTGATTGATAGTATGAATGTGGTCAATTGTTGAGTAGCCTGTTCGAAATCCTGCTTGTTCCTTTGGTTGATTGAATTCTAAGGTTTTCTTTACTCTGTTAGCAATTACCTTTGTAAATAGCTTGTATACTACAGAGAACAAGCTGATCGGCCTGTAATTCTTCAAGTCCTTGTCACCTCCTTTCTTATGTATTAAGATGATGTTAGCGTTCTTCCAAGACTCTGGTACCCTTCCTGTCAGGAGACACCTCGTAAACAGGGTGGCTAGTTTTTCTAACACAATCTGTCCTCCATCTTTCAGCAGGTCTGATGTTACCTGATCCTCACCAGCAGCTTTGCCTCTTTGCATGCTCTCCAAAGCTTTTCTGACTTCTTTCATTACTGGTGGGGTGTCATCTGGGTTACTTCTAGTTCTTATAGTATTAAAGTCGTGGTTGTCTCGGCTACTGTACAGATCTCTGTAAAACTCCTCCGCTATTTTAACTATCCTATCCATATTGGTAGTTATTCGGAGCAGCGTGGCGTTCATGTGGGGAAATGGTGGGGAACCGGTTTCCCACATGAACGCCACTTGCTGCTCACACGCCAAAAGTATGAACCGGTTTGGTGTGCACGTTGTTTTCTCTGCACCCAATAAATTGGGCCGTATATGCGCCATGGTGCATAGGAGGGCGCAGGGCACGTCAAAAAGCAGAGGATGTTTGCAGAAACATGCAAAACAATTTGTTAAAGGTTTTTTAGGAGTGGTGTATAGCATACCGCTAACGTGCGGTCGTATGCACATCGGCCAGACCGGGCGATGTTTGAATATACGCCTCAGGGAGCATTTGGGTTCCTTAAAAAAATAGTCCTTTTTCCGTTTTAGCTTCGCATTGCAATTCCTGTAAGTGCCAACCGTTGTTTGAAAAAACAAGTGGATTTTTCCGGCATCCGCTTCAAACCACGCGTGAAATTTCCGAAGCATATCACATTTCTAGAAATAAGAATCCTTGTATTAGCCATCCGTCATTATCACGACTTGACTGAGTTTAACTATGTTGATAATTCCTAGACAAGTGCTTTGAATGAACGCCACACTTGCTGCTCACATTATCATATTTCTGTTGTCATGCGCACCCTTGTGTACTTATATGACCTTCAAACGTCAGAATAAACCAGTTCTTAGTTAAGCTCTCGTGCTGTGTGCCTCCTCTTTGCTTTGTGTCTGTTTACCCCCATGCTCCCAGTTCGCTGAACCATCATAAATTACCAACTAGCCTACCTTTCCATCCTATTGCAATGCTTGTCTTGCATTATCGATATGAAGCATGAAGATGATGGTTTTGGGTTTATTGCTTTCCGGAATTTTTTTGTGTTAACATGTTGGAGATATCAAGGTTGAAAAATTTGTCTTTTGCTGCCTCGATTTCAATTTCGCATAACAGCGATTGCGCACAATAAGCCTTCCAGGGGTCATCACATTGCAAAGTTCTAGCCTTCGAGTAAACACTTTGTTATTAATGCATCGCTTCACGTGAAAGGCAAACCAAGCGCTCCCTGTACACGTCGATATCTGAATGCATTTTTCTTTTAATTCTATTAGCTTGATACAGACAATCGTCCAGTTGTCATTGCAATAGCGATGCTGCATGCCGTTTCGCGACTGATAACAGTTGAGGCCAAACCACATAAGCGCGATAATGCACGCGACAGCGACACGACGTAGATCGGCTTCGCACGATCAGTCGCTAGCGCAGGCAAACCTCATTCACGCGTCGGCTCGGCGAGCGAATTCCACTGTTGCTGGCATGACTGGGCATGAGGCAGTCTACTCGCACCAAGAAAACCGCGTAGCGAGCGGTATGTAATTTAAAAATAAGATATATTGTTGTGTAATGAAACGGAAGTGTTTATTATTGTTTTGCAGCACTTTTTTTTATATGCACATGCGTAATAAACATTTGCGTTATTTCTTGTTGCGCATACGTGACTCGGGCAGGGTCACGTGCACCTATGTAGTCTGTCTTTTCCGGTTTTTCGCTATTGGCTGCTTGAGCCCAGCACTTCCGGTTGACGAGCGACAGTTTCCAAATCTGGAGAACCGAGCGATCGCGCGAAAACGAGCACGCGACACGTCGTGCGAACGCCCTGTTTCGTCGCTCATAGCTGTCGCGTGCATTTTCGCGCTTATGAGGTTTGGCCCTTATGCTCATAAACTGCACTAGAGGCAGAAGCACATAGACGTAGATGCCAAAAAGCGCGTTGCTTAAAAAGTGAACCTTTGTACCCAGTCAGAAAACAGACAGGCCACAGGAGGGATGCGTTTCGGGTGCTTCGGTGACACCACTGGCCTCGTCACTAGATAACCTAAACATGAGCAGGCTGCCGCGCACTTCAATGTGGGCGAACTAAGTGTGCTCTCGAGATGTCGCCAGTGCAGTCCACAGCTCAACAGTGCACACATTACGCAAGGTTCCATCGGGTCCCATCACAGCCAGCAACTATGCCTGGAACTTTTGCAGTGATTGTGAAGAGAGGAACACGTACACCAAGGAGCAAACACGGTAACAAGAATACGTCGCAAAGTAGAAAACCTAGCACCTACAACGCCGTCGTCGTCGTAATGTGCTTTCGGCCAGACGCAGTCACATTACCACAAAACGAACGACGACGCAGCAATCGCGGAGCCTAAAACGTGAGCGACGCACTTTACGTGTTTGAATCGCTCACACACTGGTGCTTACATCTTGGACAGCTTGGAGGCCGCTCCACCGGTCACCTTGGCCACTCGCAGCGCGCCCAGTTCTTGCTTGAGGTCATCGAGCTGCTTCAGCAGCTCTTCCTTCTTCTTACCCCGCAACTCACGAGCTTTCACCTTCGCCTGTGACCACACAGCGACCATGCGGCTGCATCAGCTTTCATCGATCGGACAAATCTCAACATTTAAGAAACAAAAAGCCCGACTAACCTGCGGGTCTTATTTGCCGTAAAAAATATTTTAAAAAAGTGCTGTTCATGTACCGTTCATTAGCTAAGCAATTACAAAAAGGGCAGCCGACATGCATGCGACATTCTCTGTGCTCGGACGCTTAAGATCATCCTCTACAAAAACATTCGTGCAATTCTTGCGACTAATATGATTTTTAAAGCGTAAATGAGACACTTACAGATACCTTTAAATCAATCGCCATAAACAGAAACGCTGAAAAATCTCGATGATTTCAGATTGCGCTCGCACTTACCATTGCTAAGCTCACACCACAGCCGGCGCGTTGCGAAGAGAGAGGAGTTGCCGGGAAAAGGTGGTCGCACACCGTGCTCAAAAACGGCACTCTTGTGGTCAATGAATAAAATAAATACTATTACAAATATAACAAAAACGTAAAAATAATGTAATTTCAGCAAACTTGTAACGTATATTTTTTGGCATGGTCAATGAAGCGATGAGTTGTGCTTTTTTTTTATGTAGTTAACAAGTTTGGTCGTTTCAGGTTGTCAGCATGTTGCACCGGAAACGCCGTAATCTGGTCGTTGTTCCGGCTTTAGCTTTAGTGCGTAGGTGTTCTGTGGGGTGGGTACCAACGTTGGTGTGTACGACAACGGCACCGCAGGCAGGGCGCTTTTTGTTCGCCGGTTACGTTCTGTTTGAGCGTTCACGATGTCTAAAAACACGGAGAGCTCGGCTTTTCGCAAAATCGACATTGACCAGTACAACGAGGACAACTACAAGGAGGAGGAAGGCTTGGACGCACAATCGCCACCGGCCGGTCCCGACGAGCAAGAAGTGAATCACCTTCTCAATCAATATCCTTTCTCGGTGTATTTAATTATCGATGAAATTGCCCCATTCAACGTCAAAAGTTACCATTTTTATGCGGGCTTCTAGTGGGTCGAAAGACAGCCTTCAACCGCGACTCAGCAGTTTTACAGCCTTGCGTTAGTAGAAGCAGTCGACGCGGCGAAACACGCATGAGTGAACTCCGAAGGCCGTTTCACATGACACAAAAAGTAGCCACTTTCAGGCTGCGAATCCACTCGCTGCGCCGTTCGCTCCCACCATAGCGGTCGTAGGCGAGCGACCAACATGTTCGCAGCATGCAACATACTTTTTAGCGCAAAATAGAAAACTAAAGATCTTGACAACAAAACACAGTGCAGGCGTTGAACAGCAACTGGCTTCATTTGGAAAACTGAGTGTCTAGCGTTACGTCTTGACATAAGAATAAGGAATCTTGTGGTTACGTCCACCGTGGCAGTAATGCAACATCGTCTTGTTAATTCCGCTAGACCGATCGGCTACTGTGGCGCAGTGTGTTAGTGCAACGCGTACAGAGCGGTGGAGTCGGTTCAAATTATGCTGCACTGATATTTTTTTTCCAGCAATGGTTAAACTGTAGCATTGGTTCCACAAGGGCGCTGCTAATATATTTTTTTTCTTTAAGAAAATCGCCTTAATGGCAGCGGCGGGCCCGCGTTGTTGCAGCTCTGTACCGTTTTGTGACACGAGCCACTTGAACATATGTTAGCAATGAAAGCACACTGCGAAGTGACACGTGCCAGCATCTGAGACTGGCCGAATGATTATCAAACTCAAGTGCGCATTGTGAACAACACGGTGGATCTATCTTTAGTAGCTGATTGTCGTTACCGCTGCACGTAACTTCCACCCTCTGCAACAGCGCCTGGCCGTAACGTTAGAAGCAGTTGCAGCTAGGTGTAGACGTAAAAATAATGAATCTTAGTTATGTCCCGCATGACAACAATGCCAAACCGGCTTGTAAATCCATTCAACTGATCGGCAGCAGTGGGCAAGCGCGTCACATACAGAGCAGTGAGGGCATTGATTCACATTTCACTGCATTTTTTTCTTTTTTTTTTTAAATTGAAGTACTGTTTTAGCAATATAGCAATAATGGTATATTGGCCAGGTCGATAAGTGAATATTGCTTACAAACATTTCCTGCTAGTAGCTGCAGCCCAGAAGGCGCTTAAGTTTGCATCCATCTGGTCAGGGCCCCCCATAAAGCAGTTATTTTGGGCAATGGCATTAGGGCGAGACATTTGGATCATCTGCACAATTGAAGGTAACTTCATGTCAGGGATTTTGTTTTTAGGGGTGAAGCTCCTTAAGGCATGGGCCTGTACATCCTCCTAGGTATGTAGTTGTAGCAGTAGTAGGTAGCCACCGCTAGTTTAGTTCTTGCAGTGTTTACTAGAAGGGTGTAGTTGATGCGAGATGTTATAAACCTAGATGGCGGTACGTGTAGTTGATAATGAAAGATGGGAGATGTTATAATAGGAATGTCACATATCATGCGACATCATTCCAGCAGACGGTAGACCCCTTGAGAGCATGTGTGCCGCTGCTGCAGCACACATGCTCTCAAGGGGTCGTTGTTGTGAAAGGCTCCAGGGAATGGTGGTGGTGGAACCCAGTCAGCGTGGGCTCTGCCAGAGGGTTGGTTGGGACACCTGTGCTCGTGTAATGACCTGCAGTAGTCCGCGCACAAGGGTTGACATGCAGGTCTGCATAATCGGTGGCTGCCTCCACCCAACACCCCCTAAATTGCTCCACCGCAGGCGTGGTATCCTTGGTGAGCCCTGTAGGAAGCGGACCAGGCACGTCGTCTTCCAACGCGTCAGTCATAGTCGCAGAGTCTCTGAAGTTTGGCCGTGGTTGATGGCGAAGTCTTAGTCGAGGCAGCGGTGATGGCCGGTTGATATCGCTCACTGTGACTCATGGGAAACGGGGAAGTCGCGGGTCAACAGAAGCGGGCGGCAGATGAGGCCGTAGGAGGCCAGCACCGCAAAGTAGAGGTCATCGTAAGGCTGCAAGCTGGAGGTTGAGGTGGCAGCGAGATGATGCAGCTCTACCGGAAGGGCGTCGGGAAGAATGGCGTGCATCAGCTGCTGGTCCGCGACACCATTCATCGCAAGAATGGTGTCGGGCTGCATAAACGATACCTCGGGGTCGGTCGATTGAAACGACGGCACTAGCAGGCAGACTCGCGGGAACATGACAGCCGATGGCTCGTCCAATGGTGGGTCCTCTAGATCACCAGGTTCTTCAGGTTCTGAACGATAGCAGAGGTAGGTCAAAGTGCGGCTGCAAGGCTTGAGCTGGCTGGAACATGGCCGCGAAGCTCAGAGGCAGCGGTGCAGCGCCAGTTGCTTGTCTGTTGGTTCGGGGTCATCATATGTTGAGAAACAAGAGACGAGACGGTGGCGCTTGAGACCGTGCTGTGGTGTCGGCTTTTATTCGGGACGCGAGCGAAGATGGGTTTACACCTGCCGTGTCCAGCCACGCCAGGAGGTCAGCTGTTCTTGAATTCCTTATGGCTCGCATCAAGCGGCTCGCTTCTTTTTCGGCACAGCCAGCTGGCCAAATCTAGCCTGGCGCTACAGGTGTATTAGTTGAAAGCTTCTATGAATACGTGCAATCTGCAATGAATAAGGTAAAAAACACAGTATACTATACCGATTGACGACTTCAATGCCGAGGTAAGGAAGAAGCGGGCTGGAGACCAGGCAGTAGGAGATTATACTTTATACTCTGTGCACACCCAGGCATCGTGCAGGATGTGGAAGTGCTTGGCAAGGTGCGATGCAGTGACCGTAAAATTGTATGGTCTCGAATTCACCTAAACTTGAAGAAGAAATGACAGAAACCGATACGCAAGAAGCCAATCAATGAACTAGCACTGAGAGGGAAAGTACAGCAATTCAGAGTCTCGCTTCAGAACAGGTATGCGGCCCTTATCGAGGGAATGAGCCTTAGTATTGATGCAATGAATGATAATCTGACGAGTATCATTACGGAGTGTGCAGTAAAAGTTGGAGGTACGGTAGTTAGACAGGACACTGGCAAGCTGTCCCAGGAAAGGAAGAACTTCATTAAGAAGTGTCAGAGCATGAAAGCCTGATTTACAACAGACAAAATAGAGTTGGCAGGGTTTTCGAAGTAGAATAATAAGCGTAAGGTATCTGATGTAAGAAGGTATAACATGCAGAGAATCGAACACGATTGATTGATGTGTGAGGTTTAACGTCCCAAAACCACCATATGATTGAGAGACGCCCGAATCGAACACGCTCTGAAAAACGGAGGAAGCGTCAAAGCAGTGAAGAGGAAACTTGGGATAGGCAAAAGTCAGATGTATGCACTAAGGGACAAGGAAGGCAAAATAACTACCCATATTGATAGGATAGTTAAAATAGCGGAGGAGTTTTACAGAGATCTGTACAGTAGCCGGGACAACCACGACCCTAATACTATAAGAACTAGCAGTAACTCAGATGACACCCCACCAGTAATGATAGAAGAAATCAGAAAAGCTTTGGAGAGCATGCAAAGAGACAAAACTGCTGGTGAGGATGAGCTAACATCAGATCTGCTGAAAGATGCAAGACAGATTGTGTTAGAAAAACTAGCCACCCTGTTTACAAGGTGTCTCCTGACGGAAAGAGTACCAGAATCTTGGAAGAATGCTAACATCATCTTAATTCATAAGAAAGGAGATGACAAGGACTTGAATAATTACAGGCCGATCAGCTTGCTATCCGTCGTATACAAGCTATTTACAAAGGTAATTTCTAGCAGAATTAAGACAATATCAGAATTCAATCAACCAAAGGAAGAAGCAGGATTTTGAACAGGCTGCTCAACAATCGACCACATTCATACTATCAATCAGGTAATAGAGAAATGCTCAGAATACAGCCAATTACTATACATAGCTTTCATAGATTACGAGAAGGCGTTCGATTCGGTAAAAATATCGGCAGTCGTGCAGACACTGCGGAATCAGGGCGTCGACGAAGCATATATAAACATCTTGGAAAAAATCTACAGGGGATCAACTGCTATCATAGTGCTTTATAAAGAAAGCAACAGAAGACCAATCAAGAAGGGTGTAAGGCAGGGGGATACAATCTCCCTAATGCTATTTACAGTGTGCTTACAGGAGGTTTTGATAGGCCTAGAATGGGAAGTTAGAGATAACAGTTAATGGCGAGTACCTTAATAATCTGCACTTTGTAGATGAAATTGCACTGCTGAGTAACTCGGGACGAATTGCAATTAGTTATTGCTGAGCCAAGGAGAGCAGAAAGGTGCATTTTAAAATTAATCTGCAGAAAACAAAAGTAATGTACAATAACCTTAGAAGGGAACAACGCATTGAGATAGGTAGCAGTGTACTTGAAGTTAGCCTTTCCTGCTTAAAATTTTTTTTGCTGATACTCTTTTTTTTTTCAGATGCCCTTGTAAATTGATTAGTCATGCATCTTTGATCTTCTCATTCTGTATATTCATTTTCATTGTTTCACATTTTCAGTGCTTGTTTACTTTTCGGTAGATTCGCTTCGTTGTTAGTATATTATTCTTAATAGCTGTACACTTTTGTGCTGTTTCTTTGTACCTTTGCCCTCCTGGCTGGGCTTTTTTAAGGCCTGCAGTATTCCTAAATAAAAAAATAAGTTGTAAAGGAGTACGTCTGCTAGGAAAGGTAGTAACCGCGTAGATGAGCTGTGAGATTGAAGTGACTATAAGAATAAGAATGGGGTTGAGCACATTCTGAAAACATTCTTCAAGCATGAATGGTAGATTGCCACTATTCCTCAAGGGGAGGTATATAACAGCTGTATCTTACCGGAGCAGAAACTTAACTACAGAGCAGAAACTTGGAGGATTGCAAAGAGGGTCCAACTTAAGTTGAGGACGACGCAGCGAGCGATGGAAAGGAAAATGATGGGTATAACCCTAAGGGACAAGAAGAGAGCAGAGTGTATCGGGGAACAAACTG